ACACACCCGCGATTGAAATAAGTAAGAGACGGTTAGAGTATTGGTGGCAGAAAATTAGAGAGAAAGGACAAAAATAAATATTGGAAAATAAAAATATGGACAGTGTGCCGTAAATGGCAGAGAACTTAAGCTGAAATTTACCTTTTTTCCATTAAGATAGAATTTATCGAAGTAGAGGCATTAGGCCAACATAAAAAAAGGGAAAAAAGATTTTTTTTTTTTGTCGAGCCTGGTGGCATACTTGTCACCACCCCGTTATAAAGGGGACGCTCATAGCATCCATCCATCCATCCAATATATGATGAAAAGATGCGAGATGGTGGTACTTGGACTGTTGACTAGATGGACGAACGGACACACAGACATATGCGTGGACGGGCGCACAGATGGCTGCATGGACGGATGGACGCAGGGGCGGATGCATGGTCGAACGCAGGGATGGACGCACAGACGGACGTGCGGATGCATGAACAGACGCACGCACGGACGAACGGATGGACGCATGGACGGTCACACAGATGCATGGACGGACGGAAGCAAGAACGAATGGACGGACGGACGCTTCGCACCCCACTCCATCATTCACGCCTGTTTATATGCTGCCATTTTTTTTTTTTTTTTTTTTGCTAACGCTTCAATTGGCACTGTCTGGCAGGCAACGAGCCTCGACCACGTGCGAAGTAGCAGCCACTAACTGGATACAGACACGCTCTGACAGCCCTGCAGAAATTCGTAGGAATCTTTTTTTTTTTTTCGTTTAATTCTTTCTTGAGTATTGGTACGACTCACCAGCAGCCCGAGGTAGCTCAGTCGGTAGAGTGTTAGGCTTTTAACCTAACGGTCCAGGGTTCTAGCCCCTGCTCGGGCAGTGCATTTTTTTCTTTTTGAGGTATTGCATCGTGTTCTAGCCATGAGCTGTTTTCAAGGAACAGAGACAAAGAAAACAGAAAAAGACAGTGATGTTTTAGAAGCCGCGCTACCGGTCCCGCAGTAGCAATATCAAATTAAGCCATTAATTGTATCCAAGGTATATTTCTTCATAGCTTAATTATCGAACGTTGAGTGATAATAATAACCATTCAAATATCACGCGAAGCGCACGTGCACGGCAAATGGAAACAAGGCGAACGAAAAGTCCTGCTTAAATTTCGTACACGGCTGCTGATCCGAAGTAGTACAGTGTATAGGTGTTCTGTGGTAGTACACTGTAGCGTACCCGAAAGTGGCGGGTTCGATCCCGACCGCGGCGGTCGCATTTCGATGTAGGCGAAATGGTGGAGGCCGCATACTGTGCAGTGTCAGTGCGTTAACGAACACCAGATGGTCTAAATTTCCGAAGCCCTCCACTACGGCGCCTCTCATAATCATAACGTGGTTTTTGGATGGATATCATGGGCGTAGCCGGAGATGGGTGAGAAACTTTGCTTGCGTGTATATACACGCACACAGAGCAAACGCACGCGCACGAGTATGGTTGAACCACTCTGGAAACACACGCACAACCATTATTCATTGCGCTTTTTTATTTACTTTTTTTACTTTCGTTCGGTATAACATCGCCAATCCCCGTTGCCCGGGTAGCTCAGTCGGTAGAGCGTTAGGCTTTTAACCTAACGGTCCAGGGTTCGAGCCCCTGCTCGGGCGTGCATTTTTTTCTGTTCTTTAATATTTCGATGTTGCATCATTGGCCATTGAGGAGGACGTTCTGACAACGAGCTGTTTTAACAAGCTAATGAACTGTCTATAATTCTTATTGTTCCTTGTCATAGCATTAGGGACATTATTGAGCATATCTCAAATATTAAAGGCACATAAAAATTATCTGTACGCACTCTATCCGCGATGTGACCGCGCTGCATGAACATGACTATGCCCATAGGCTGTGCTTTTGCGTTATACGCCCTATACTGTAATATGTACCAAGTACTTCTGATTATTAGATGCGAAGCAGCTCTTTCACTAGTCTGTGTAACGCTGTCCCTCCGTATGAGTGACATCTTGCTCCCTCGCAGTGCGCGCTGACCTCACTTTCCCCCTCGCCTGCCGCGCGCTCGCTCCACTACCGCAAACGCCACCAGTTACACCGCCGACTCGTCGGTTCACTTGCAATAATCCTGACGTGCACCTAATTACGTACGCGTTAAAGCATATCTGTGCGTGACACCTCTCTCTCTCTCTTCACACTTTACACCTCTCGCAACTGCTCGAGCACACGTCGAGTGGTAACACGTACGTACTCTTTCGCCTCGTTTATCTGCGATAGAAAGGACGCTTCTACCACTGAAATTTCCACCGATGCGATTACGTTTAACCCGGCCGTCGCTGGTGTTAAGAGGGTTAGCGAAGCCAAGCGCGTTCGCTAATGGCGAAGTCGTTTACTCGAGTAAACGCTACACCTAGTTTCGCTTCAACCCATTCTTCCAACCCCGCGTCAACACCCGTTTCAACCGAGTCAACGCCGTGTGCACCACTGCTGCTTCGCATTCCATCAGGGTTCCCTTCGAGAAGATGGTCCAAGTTTTTTTTTTGTTTATTCTTCTTTTATTCTTTCTCTTTTTTTCTAACTTTGTGCATATCTTCTACAATAAAGAAACATGCAATAAAGGCAAATATTAAGTTGATTGTTGAAATAGCGGTCAAGAAACTTAGTAGAGCTACTTTTGTGCCAAGGAAGTGTTTATCTTCAAATAAAGTCCCGTTTTAGTGGTCCCCATTGTGTTAGCACTTCAAATTACCGGCCTCAAGTGGAACCTTTCACGTCACTGTTGCCGTACACAACGCCGGCGTTACTGCTCGCCCGCCGACACTAGTAGCAGCCACGGTGTGGTAGCAGTAGAACGAAAATAGCCGAAGCCACAGCAGCAACCAATTGACATTGGCAGCAACGGCCAATGAACAATTTTCTCCCATGACCTCCGAGATGGTAGGCGTGCTAGGTTCAACTGGGCCCCGCTAGTAGAATGACCTGTCCAGTTTAACCTACAGTCACTAGAATTTTCCAGACTAGTTTAACCAGGCGGGAATTGAACTTTTGAACCACTCGCGCCATTCTCCATAGTAACGTACGGAAGCTATTTTTTCCATTAATTAAACAGAAACAAGCAGCATTTTATTATGCATCTTGATGCACGAAAGGTTCTTCACCTAGTGGAGCTATTTCGATTACTAGTGATTAATTGTATGCGGGAAATCTGACATGATCGGGATCATTTAGCGAATGCACTACTCGTCACGCATGTGTTCTTGCGCATTTACATAAATTTCCTTGCAAGTAGGGCACTGCTGTTGATAATATTGTCGTTTTAGACATTGTCATACATTTAGCTTTCACGCTGACATAAGTGGTTATTGGACTTTAGTGTTCCTTTAAAAGTATACACATGGAAGTTAAATCTGGAGCTTTACGTAAGAATTGTACCTTTTTTCCCAGAAGGCCACCTTGCAGTCAAGGTGCAGTGTATATTCTGGCATGACTGACTCACAGAGTGAAAAGAATGGAGAAAGAACAAGTCATGAGCCTGCATTTTTTTTTATTGGCAGGGGACAGAAACATGCTACACGACAAAGCGCTTAAGCTGCGCAGCACTTTTGCATCGTGTCTCTCATTAGCTTCAAGGCGAGGGGAGGGTCAGTATCAAAAATATGACCGCTAGGTAGTTGGACAGGCTGTCGATTCCTCAATAAAATCGGCGGACAGCGCAGAATGTTTTGCTTGACAGCAATGACAGAAGCAATGCGTGGTGACTCCAAGTGTCATATGCTGTAACGGTTGAACACACATCTATAAGCTATAGCGTGCAGAGCTTCCTTTTTATCTCACGCAAGTAACTACCTTCTCACCATTCAACTCAGTTTATTTTTAACAATCTGCATTGAAACCTTAACAAAGCATTCGAAGCAGAAGTACATTTGTTTCAAAAACTGAAATTGTTAGCACAAATCATAAATAAGCGATATTTAAATCAGGGGTGCATAGACCATGAACTGCGTGCCACAGACAGCTCCTTGTGAATGTACTACATGCTTGCAGCCCGATTTATGGGAGTTGTGTCATGCTCACTCTACCACCATCGAAATACACGCAGTTGTATTGTGCTGTTACCGATCATGTTCTCAAAAACTAATATGTAATGGAAATAACATGTGGGGTTTTACATCCCAAAACTATGAAATAATAATGAGGCATGCCATTATAAAGGGCTCCAGAAATCTGGACCATCTCGGTGTTCAAACACCTGCTGACACAATATAGCACACGGACCTTTAGGATAGCGCCTCTATTGAAATTTGACGGCCTTGCTGGTATCGAATACTCAACTTTTGGGTCAGCTGCTGAGCACTGTAACCATCGTAGCACCGTGGTAAACATTTCTGAAAACTGGTGCGGTTAAGTTACACGTATTTTGTGGGAAACTTGACTGTTCTGCAACAAGAAGAACAGGTATAGAAAAAAAAGCCTGTGGCACTGCAATAATTCAATCCAATGCTTTACTATAAGACTATCACATAATAATCTCATTTTGTCATTATTTCAATATATTTGTCGAGCCACTCTTGTTCTAATTGGTCATGACAGAAAGTAGTAGTGTTACTGACTTCACAGATAAATGGTACGCACTCATTTGTATTCTGCGACTGCGAAACGAAGTGTACATTAAAAGCATGCATTATACGCTAAATCGCCCTTTCTATACGAATATCATAAATAATTGAGTCAAAGCAGCAGTTTTTATCTTTAAGAGTTTAATGAAGGCCAAACTCAAGAGCAGTGAAACGAGCAGATAAATGCAATAGCATATTTCGGAAAATGACAAGGTTCTAATACAGTTTTTTTTCTCCGGGTGTGTTACGTGAGATCAGTGTATCACTGGCAAAACATGTACTCACGCAAATTAACTATTCCACAAGTTGTTGCAGAATTTTTTCTTGTTTTCATGAAAACATAGGTGTTACTTTTCCACTGCAGTTATGCTTCACAAACAACTTTAGCACCTTTCATATATTCAACCACTGCGGCCCATTTATTTACACGGAGAATTCCCAGCAAAAAAAAAGTATAAAAGGTAACTTTAGTGTTGACCATAGTGGAAGTAACATTTAAGTAGACAGCTGATATCTAGTTTTTCAATTTCAATTCAATGAATAATTTCTGCACTACAAAACCCAATCATTGTGGTAGTCTGCAGTCTGATCACGGACATGAATTACATAACGAAATGCTAACGAACGGAACTCCATAGGTATAAGAAGTCACAGTTGTTGGCTTCTAATGTGTAATGCCATTAACAGGTACAGCATATATGTTTAAACACATTTGCAACTGTGTCTTTTTTAGAAAAGTGCTAAGTAAATATGAGTCTGTCGAGTTGTGTGACACTTAGAAATGGTGCAGGCTGTCCTCAATGCATCAACACGCCAATGACTATGAGCATTGATGCAAGAATGGGCAATGCTGGCAATCTCAAACAACGATCAAGTGTGCTCTCCTCATGGCTGGTGCTTGTCCCCACACAAACAAACTATTCAAAAAATGGCGCTACTAGTATACAAAATGTACATGAAAACAAATGTGATGAACAACAACTGCGAGCAGCCTGCACCTCTCTCAATTGTGAATGGAGTGACGAAAAATAGCTTCGACAAGTACAGTGCGTGCAAGGCGTGCACGTCGCCTTGGTTATTTCGCGCTCCCCGACATGGTCGTCGTTCTCCGCACCGATTGGCCGGCTCCTATTGGTCAGCCGACAACACCACATGGTAGCTAATGTTCAGTGGTCCGTGGTACCTTTCTTCTCTTCACAGAGGCACAAGTACATTGTTATAAATAAAAGGGCGCTTGCAGATGATGAGGCGTGCTGCACAGCACCAAAGACCACCCTGCTTCCGAAAACTGAAAATGTTTTGTGTACGTTTGAAGTGTGAATTATGTCCCTGTGTGTTTGGTCGGTCGGTTCTCTTATTCTTCTTGTGGCTCAAAAGATGATGACATCGAGTGTTGGAGAGTCCTCTCGTGTGCTCTAGGAAAAAACAGTCTCTCTCTCTCCATCTTCTTCTTGCAGCTCATAAATAAATGTGAAGAAAACTTTGGGCACACACACACCGAAGCGACATCATGGATGCACATATCCACACACGCGCACGCACAGTGCTGATGCGTCCCGACACACGCAAGACTCTGTAGTTGTAGCTGGCTCCCTGCCAAAGCTGCTTCGTGGTATTCCACATGCATTCGTTGCATAGAGCAGGCATCGATCGCTATCAACACAGTGAAGTCTGTTCGCCCTCGAGAGTGCGCGCCATGTTTAGCAGATTGTGCGACGGATGTAGCTTCCGGCAGTGTAAGTCACCTTGAAGCCCCATGAGAACCTGTGCATGGTGAAACAAAAGACAGCATGCTGAAGGGTCAAAATATGCAATTTTTTGTGTGTCATGTAACACTGTATATAAAAATGAAAGGAAACATTCTCTGCAGCTTATCCCAATTTGAGAGGGCAAGTGCATTGTAGCACAGTGATCGAAATCTTGCATGTCATGCCGTAAATTGGTGATGACCTAATGATTTATCTTTATATTTGTAAACCTTGTCATGGCAGAGCAATGCTGAAACACAACAGTTGAATGCAATCAGTTATGGCCATTGCCCTACTATACCGCACTTCCCATCTTGCAGTGAACAAGCATGGTTATCTGTATTGTAATTCAATGTAGATTATTATTTGCATAGCTGTTTCAGGTGCGATTTTGACTCGCACATCTGTATGATTGACTTAGACTTTCAAAAGTTAAACTTACTTGTAGTGAATACGAATATAACATATCAGTTAGGACTGATTAAATTAATATTAAACTTGCCAATAATGGTGCTGTGAGTATTTGTGATGAATTCTTGTACATATAATTTGAAATTATTCACTCACTAGGTGCTACTTCCTTATAACAGGCTTTGATTACAATACCAAGTATTGGTTATCTTGTCATGCCAAGTATTGGTTATCTTGTCAATGCTAGATGTCAAATGCTGTTCGTGTTGAAGGCGGTAAGAGCTTTGTCAATTTTTCGATATTTCTTGCGTTCTCCATATTAAATAAAACAAACACAACTGTTTCTTCAGTGATGTTTGCTCTGATAATATACCCATCAAACTGTAGTTGGGAATATGGCTTACCTGCTCTCTGTACTTTGCAGCGTATGCGTAGAGCTCTTTGACAGCACCTGATGGCTCGAATTCGGTGGAATGTGCCTGAAGAGAGAGAGAAATAAAAGAGAAACGGATTATCAGACATTGCTAAAGTAGAGATATGCTCTTTAATTTCAGTTGAATTAAGCACAGTGATGTTGCACTTTCTTATGAGAAACAGAGCACCAACTAGCCTGCCCATTTATCCCTTTTATTGCAATATAGCTATTGCAGCTTCCCCTAAACCTCTGTAGCACATTTTCGGCCCTTGCCCAACAAGGCAACATGGCTACAGCGATCCGTGTTTGGACAGTGCCGAACGAGTTCTTTCGTGATTGATTCATTGCCGAACAAGCTCTTTCGTGGTTGATTCGCACGAGCATTTTCTCACTTCATTACCCGTCATCTGTGAAGGCATCAGTCAACTTCTTTTACTTGGCTTCGAGCCTTTAATTTTTGACCAGAATGAATGGACGGAGGAAAAGTTTCGAACCACAAAGGGTTAGAGTACATATCTGTGAGAGTTGCTCAGACCTCCTGTGTTTCCGAAACCCATTCTGCCCCAGTACCCTCTCATCCTCTATTCATGCCTACAGTCGTTCCTTTATAATCTGCATCACCAGCCTGTAGAACACTGATGTCACTGTTGTAGGATGGTAGTTGTTTATGTCAGCTTTGTCTCCTTTCCTTTATAGATAATGCTCATCCTGCTAACTTTCCATCTATTGGGGACTTCACCATCGATTAGTGTTTTGCTCACTGCCTCTCTCAAAGTCTGCTTAGACTTTGAACCCATTGTCTTTATTAGCATAACTGGAATGCCATGTGGGCCTGTTGATGTACTACTAGGAGCCCTCTTCTCAGCCCCTTCCTACTCTCGTTGTGAAAATAGAGCCATTGCAACACTTTATCCATCCTTGTCTATTGTGGTGTATAAGGCACTTCTTTGTTGAAATTTTTCTGTCACCCTTGTTCTTATATATTCGATAGCTTTGTCCCATTTTAGCCTAGCACCTTGAGCTGTAGTTATAAACCTCTGCTCTAGGCTTGTCTCATTTCTTAGGGAGTTTAGATGGTTCCAAAATTTTGCAGCTGCCTTTCTATCCTTATTATGTACTTCTGCCAGTCACTGAGCCCCCTTTCTTCTAATATTTTCATTGATCAGAAGGGATGCTTTCCTTCTACAGCTTAGAAAGATGTCCCATTTTCTTTCAACATCATCTGTCGGTTCACCCCGCTGCTTAGCATGTCTGTGTTCCCTAGAGGCTTCCTGACATTTTGCTATGGCTCTCTTAACTTCCTCATGCATCCAACTCTTGGGTTTGTGTCTTTATTTCCGGGGTGACTTGTCACGTGCCTTAGCAAGCTCTAGCTCAAACAGTCTAATTAGATTCGTGTATGTCCACACTGTTTTATTATCCTCAGTGATTACTTTCTCAATTTGTTTAGTAGCTATTTCTATTTGCCTTTCTGAATAAAAATTTTTCTGTATTTGCTCATCTTGTCTCCTTCCCACTTTCACTGCTCTTCCCAAACTTAGCTTGATGTGTTTGTACCCAGACTTCTGGAGCCCAGACTTCTGGAGCCACATTCATCTATGTGCATTCCCCTGAGCCTATCATACATCCTATGTGACATCAGTGCGTAATCTATCGTCGACTGCAGCCTTCCTACCTCCCATGTTATTTGCCCTTCACACTTCTTAGTGCTGTTGCAAATAATCAAATCATGCCTTTCATACATATTCATGATCATTTTGCCTGTTGGGTCGGTATACCCATCTATATCTTTTATGTGCACATTCATATCTCCTAGTGTAATTATCTTGCATTCTCCTCCTAATTCCTCAATGTCCTTTGATATACACTCCACCGTTGCCTGGTTTCCTCTCTGGCCTTTGCTCCCGTCCACAAGTACACTTAAACCAAAGAGTGTCATCTGCGCAGCTACTTTCCCTCTTAACCATAAATGTTCCATGCATCCATGCTTCACTCTTTGCCAACACATACTTTTATGTATAAATGCACCAATTCCACCCCCCTTTTTGCTTCCTTTTGTTCTATTGCAATATTCCATACGTAGTCCGGATTGCAAGGTGGTTATGCTCCACGTCCCAAGATGTGTCTCCACAACCCCATATACCATCAGCTCCTCCGGCCTTAACTGCTCTTCTATCTCTTCCTACTTTTACCTATTCCTGCCACCCTGCATGTTAATATAGCCTATGTCTGACTTAGCTCGGCCCTTGTGCATAACGTCGATTTCTTTTCCCACGGACCCCATGTGGCTTGAATATTTGTGCCCCTTTAGAACCGTCTCTGGCTACACTGTTGGCCTCAGGGTTCTGGGTCCCCCTAAAAACGCTGTGGCTTGACGACCCATCCTATTACCAACCCTCCTGCCCATTCCACCACTGTAATGAATGCCATCCTGTGCAAAGGGGCGAGTGCCGGGCTCGTACACGTCTTGGTTCACCTCCATTACGCAGTATCCGAGTTGCCGGCTTATACCCTTGATCACACAGTTGGCCTCCACTACCCTCCTTTCAATCCCACGAGACTGCCCCCAGACCTTTGGGACTGTGCATATGGTCGCATGCACACTCCCAGAGGCGTCTCGGAGCTTACGCATCCCATCCTCTAACTGTCTCTGAAGGTTCTGATCCTTGCCCTTCAACACATCATTGAGTGAATAATGATGAGAATTTCGCCCTCCATGCTGTCTCTACAACCTCCTGAGCTTTGGCCAGTGCATCCACCTATGCTCTTCCCTGACTGGGCCTCCACCCTCACTCTCACATCTTCCTTCACTATCGTGAAGACGCCATCCCTAACCCTGGCCACGTTAGAGTCCCTCACCACTAGGACCCTTTCTACGCTCCAATCGCTGGCTTCCTGTTTGTGATGGCGCCCCTGTTTGCTTCGCGTTTCTCTCTCTGCCGTCTGTCCTGTGTTCCTGCCCTGCTCGAAGACTGCCGCGCCACCGAGCTGTATGTTCTCGGAGCCTCCGTGCTGTGGCCAGACACTGCGGCCTCCCTGACCTCCTTTCTCGCCGGTTCCCTCCCGCCTGTCGCCTTCTAAGCTACCCACGCCTTCCGTCTCACACCGCTAGGGGCCAGGGACAAAGCGCCCTTAGCTCCGATTCGAACTGCTCGAGCTCGGTACGCCCTTCCCGTTGCTCTAATAGGCTGGAGGTAGCCTCCTCCCGCTCACGCGACGCTCCGAGCTGCTTTTGGAGTTCTATCCTCTGCTCCCATTCCGCCCACGCTCCCCTCCCCCCTGAAGCCCCTCGATGCTAGCCTCCATGCGCTGCACGGCCACCTGCAGTGCCTCGCACAGCCTTCACACGAAGCTCGCCTTCTGCGTGTCGGCCAAACTTGTGAATGCTGTTTCGTCCAAGTAGCACCAGCGTTTGCATTCTTCGCACTTGACTCAGCTCACTCTCGCTCGTGGTTTTCCATAGCCTCCTTAGCCATCGCCCGCCCGACCATCGGACCGAGCGCCCGACAGCCCTCACCCCTGATCCCGCTATCCAGCCGCCTCCGCTAACTCTCCTACCTCAACAACTGTTTGAAGCTGCCGCCTACACCACACACACACATGTTCAATTTCGCTAGTAGCCTCTCACTATATAGGTCCACTTCGTGTTCGGGCGCACCGAACTACTTCAAAACAGCCGCCTACCCCGTTCACGTGGCCAACGTCACTACAACGTTGCCCGCGTCCCACACCCACAGTACTCGCAACGCAAGTTATTGATTAGGAGAGAGAAAAATAATAATGGTGTTCACAAACAAATAAAGAAAAACTTATCTCTCATTGCGCGATGCTCCTGCACCAACAGACCGGCTCGACCTTGACTGCATGAGACACCCCACCCTAGAACATATTTTATGGGAATGCGCACAGGTACAGGACGCCAATGCAGTCTCCTCAGAACACCTTGGGGCGCGGTGGAGAGGCGCGCTGATCGGCTCAGATCGGGCAGATCAGATATGGGCCATCCAGCGAGCACGTGCTCGAGACGGCTGAGAGACAGGGTCTCTCTCCACCAATCCTGGCGCGGTCCACGCCTCAATCCGCTGGCTCGAATGAAATTCTGCTTACTCACTCACGCAGAGACGCGTCTTTTCCGCGCCGAGCTGCACTCGAACGCTGACACGTCACGCGCGCGTCAAGCACAGAACCAGTAATTAATTAAGGAAATCACGTAGCCCACAGATCGGTAAGTAAATAAACAGAAAAATTAATGCCGTCGCGCAAAACCGCAATTTGACTACGTGCGCACTTGTTAAGAAACAAGCGAAGGACAACGACACCGCCTCGCCGCAGCGACAACGGCAAAATTTTCAGCGGCGCGCTCTGCCTTGGGCGTGATCAAATTTTGCGGCAGTGCAGTCAGAGAACACCTGTACCACTTTGACACAGAACACCTATACGCCGACTTTGATTGGGCGCCCGAAGCGCTGCAACGGAACGATTGGAAGCGCATCTCTCGCTCTCCATCTTCCCTTACCTACGTTGGCGCTACAATTGAAGTCTAGATCTTTCTTTTTATCCGAGCCATCCAGGGAGTTCAGTAGTTTCGTGGAGGAAGTCGCGGCGCAGCGCCGCTACTCGGTCTCTGCTTGAACATTTAAATTATTACGGCGGGTGCGGTTCGCAATGTATATACAACTCTTACAAAAGCGCGGAACTATTTCAGAAGCACTAGGTTGGGTTAAGTTGGAAGTAAAAGAGCAACATGGTTGACAGGCGGGCTAGTTGGTACAAATTCATAATGGAATAATTGGAAGCGCAAACCAACGGGACACAAGAGAGGAGACAAACTGCGCTTGTTTGTCTCTTCTCTTGTGTCCCGTTGGTTTGCGCTTCCAATTATTCCATTAGTAAAAGAGCAAGCTAGCACTCTAGAAGCGGCTATCTCTGTTTTACTAGCAGCAAAAGATGTATATCTCAATCTAGGCGTAACAATTGCGCTCTTTCGTTTCGGCGGCGTAATTGTCCAAGACCACTTTTCTTACGACTCAAAGCGCTGACGGGCACTTCACCGGAACGGCTTCAAT